ATCCATACAAGGACGATCTTTTTTAATGGGTGTTGCTAAAACGCGGAACGGAAAACGGAACGGAAAGCGGAACGGAACGGAAAACGGAATATATTATTTTGGATTAAATCACTTAAAATACACAAAATTTATCACAAACGATATATTTTGTACATGTTCAATCCCCCACTATTAAATACAAGTTGATTTTATCATGCTCAGTCTCTTTTTTTACGAAAATCGCTAACATATAGCAGTCACCTAGAATCGAATTTGAAAAGGGGGGATAAACGAACTTGAAAAGTATTTGACAAGCAATAACACAAAAAGAAACAATTGTTTGATTCGGGAGGGGGGATAAAACACAAAAAGAAAACAATTGTTTGATTCGGGAGGGGGATAGGTTCCAATTCCAACATCTTTCAGTACTATTTTTTTTACACTAACTTACTACATTAATTACATTCACAAAAAGTGTGAGGATGTCAACTTAAACGAACATTTCCGTAGTAAAAAGGTTATGACTGGGGGATCAAATATTTGATATCTAAATGAACCATGAAAGAGAAATAAAATGTAAAAAAAATTATTATGATAATAATAACTTTCATCTCATTCAATGAAGTTAAATTTTGTTTGCGGTATATATATGTGTATGTTGGGGGGGGGGGTGTATATGAATGACCCCGTAAAAAATGAGTTTGTTTTCCCACTCACTGGAAAGGTCTGAAAAGTTGTACTAGGTATGCCCCCCTTTTTGTGTCAAAAATATACATAAAGTTTAATAAATCAAATTTTAATGTGACTGTGGGCCCCTACATAGACCCGAAACTGCCACTCCCCCTTTCATGATTCGCGAATTCGACACTGCGCGTATATATCATAAATAGTTATTTTTGTCTTTACAGACATTGACATTGGAAACAAATTGAAAGAAAGGGGGGGGTCAGTAAAATTTTTCAACATACAACAAATTTGACAAACCAAAAAAAAAGGGGGATATGTCCTTTGCCCAAACACGAAAATCCTATTTTGTGTGTGTGTGTGGGGGGGGGGGGGTCGAATTTCTTTCAGTACCATTTTTTCCACTGAAGTTGTGTATGACTCATGAATATATAATAGTTTACAATAAATTTTTATCAGAAATGATTTTTACAACAAGAATATTGCTTTTTTTTATCTGATTTATATCGAATCTATGTTATTTGTTTGACAAAAATTTTCCGTTTTCCGTTCCGTTCCGCTTTCCGTTCCGTTTTCCGTTCGGCGTTTTAGCAACACCCTTTTTTAATGGCTATACTTGTGTTGTACATAATTCGAAAAGAGGGGCAGTTTGTGGCTGTACAGACATGTAGAGCATGTGGTGGATGTGTTTTCAACGAATCCACTCAAATTGTAAAACTTTTTTCTCGGAATACATGTATTGTACTCAAAAATTGTGCGTGTAGTGTGCAGGATATGGCAACTTAAATTAACGTTCTTAGCAATTGACAGAAATAGGGCTGATGAAATGTTAAGCAAACGGTGTAATACTTGAAGTAGGGAAATAGGACTAAATAGTTTATGTAAAGATGTGTCTCAGCTGTGTTGCCGATTTTTAATGAAGACTAAATAAAAACAGAATAAAATAATGTTGAATACTCAGTACCTTCATGAAGATTTATTAATAATCGAGATTAATACTGTATTTTCTTTCTTGGACTCCTGAATTATTAATCATTGAAATAGCAGAAATATTATGAGCAATTATTTTCAGTATTCCTTTTTAACTAGCACAACAATGCCGTAGATATGTTTTTCCTCTCAACATGTTTTGCATGGTAGTGAAGAACATACATACACAAGTAAAGGATGGTGAAAAGCACCAGGCGTCGCAAAAAATACTGAAGCATTTTAAATCATTTCAACAATAGTAAAAAAAAAATACTTTTGGGGGTTAAACGTATGACGGGTTTGGCGTATTTTTAATCAAAAGAAGAAAAGTGTAAACATTTTTATTACAAAAACGTATCATTTACTAATGAGTGACACATATTGTTTATCAACACAAATGTACTGCAAATAAATGTACACTATAAATCATATATTTGAAAATCAGAGATTATAGGATCGCATCAAATATTTACATATTATCTCTGACATAAAGGGCATTAATTCTACGGATGTTAATTTCATTTACTTAAGCACTGAATTCATATTTTTGTCTGTCTTCGGTCCTATAACACACCTGGCCGTGCCGACAAATTGAATACCGCGCGTTAGCGCGTTATGATAAATTTGTCGGCACGGCCAGGTGTGTTATAGGACCGAAGACAGACAAAAATATGAATTCAGTGCTTAAGTAAATGAAATTAACATCCGTAGAATTAATGCCCTTTATGTCAGAGATACAAAAAATATGAATTCAATGCTTATATTTACATTCTCTAATTTTCCTTCTTCATAATTGCTTATATCGTTAATCTTTAATGTGAATTTAGTGCCCTTCAACACTGACGTGGTTAATAAACGTAAGAGCCGTTTGTGACGTCAGATGACGTTGCAAAGTTAAATAACGCAAAGAAACATTGCGAGGAAAAAAAAGTGACAAATTAATTTTAAACGCACATTTGTAGTATTTTTACGTTAATTTTACAAGATTATAGTTTTTAATTAAATTAAGTCAAAACATTGTATATTTTGGTGTTCCTAGATTATAGAAAATGCATATAGTTCCTACTGTGTATTCTAACGCGCGGTGACAAGGTTTCTCGTGTGTTATAGAAATTTGAATGTCGTGGATTTCTAATGAATTTCATAAGGAAAAAATACACGTAATGTAAATATATATATTTACATTCAGTGTAATTTTCTTTATTAATTCCATTAGAAATTCACGACGTTCAAATTTCTATAACACACGCGAAACCTTGTCACCGCGCATTAGAATACAGAGTAGGAACTACATGCATTTTCAAAATTTAGGAAAACAATAAGATGTATATTGTTTTGACTCAATTTCATTTTTAAAAAAACTACCCTTTCAAAATTAACATAAAATACAATAAATGTGCATTAAAAATTAATTTGTCATTTTTTTTTTCCTTGCAATGTTTATTTGCGTTATTTAACTTTCCAACGTCACAAACGGCTTTGCAACGTTACGATCGGCTATTACGTTTATTAAGCACACCAATACCGAAGGGCACTAAATTCACATAAAACATGAACAAAATAAACAATTATGATACAGGAAAATTAGAGAATGTAAATAACGCTAACGCGCGGTATTCAATTTGTCGGTACGGCCAGGTGTGTTATAGGACCGAAGACATCCCAAAATATGAATTCAATGCTTAAATATTTACATTCCGTGTATTTTTTTCTTATGAAATTCATTAGAAATCCACGACATTCAAATTTCTATAACACACGCGAAACCTTGTCACCGCGCGTTAGAATACACAGTAGGAACTGTGTGCATTCTCTATAATCTAGGAACACCAAAATGTACAATGTTTTGACTCAATTTAATTAAAAACTATAATCCTGTTAAATTAATGTAAATATACTACAAATGTGCGTTTAAAATTAATTTGACACAATGACTTTTTTTCCTCGCAATGTTTGTTTGCGTTATTTAACTTTGCAACGTCAGCTGACGTCACAAACGGCTCTTACGTCTATTAAACGCGTCAGTTTTGAAGGGCGTTAAATTTACATTATAGATGAACGAAATAAGCAATTATGAAGAAGGAAAATTAGAGAATGTAAATATAAGCATTGAATTCATATTTTGGGATGTCTTCGGTCCTATAGCACACCTGGCCGTGCCGACAAATTTATCATACCGCGCTAACGCGCGGTATTCAATTTGTCGACACGGCCAGGTGTGTTATAGGACCGAAGACAGCCAAAAATATGAATTCAATGCTTAAATGACGTTGTTACAAACATGATGCCAATCTTCAATTTGAACAACTTGTAAACGCAGAATGAATTTGTTATTAAATATGATCACCAGAAGATTTTATCTTTCAGTGTTGCACGTAAATGAGAGGAATTTTAATGACATTTTCAACTGTTAACATTTTTTTTCAAATACACTGTATACATTTTCCAGCAAAAGTATTGTCTTCCCCACAAATTCTTATTAAAATAGAAAATAAGGTGTTAACACCAAATTTTCTATTTTAATAAAAATTTGTGGGAAGACAGTATAGCTACATGTACATTTAGAGTTTAATTTTGATCGGAAGACTCGATTACCATCTCGAAAGAAAATAATTTTACACGCAAAAATATTTTCTTGCAATTTCTTGTACAGTACTGTAAGTGAAATTAATTGATTTTTTGACATACTTTTTGACAACTGTTAAAATAATTCTGACGAATTCCAAATCAATATGCTTAGCGCTTCCCAGTACTTTCAGTACTTTGATTGGTATTAGGGTTCATCTCAACGAGTTATAAATAAAATTTCTATTTTGGTCTGGTTATGGCATTTTCAATGGGAACCAGATTATAATTGCCGGTAGGAAACAAGTCTTTCTAAATCTTATCTTGAGAATACTTGTTTCAAATTATTGCTTGTTTTGTTATATTTTAAACAGATTATTTTATCGAATCTTTTTTCTAAAACATAAGGTGTTTTTTTTAAAATTAATGATTTTTTTTTTATCAATGTTGATATTATTATTTTTTATTATCATCTTAGAAAAACCACGAATTCTGAGAGTGTTGCATTAGCAATGAATGCAAAATTTAAAAAATGCAATGTTATTTGTAATATCTAGAAATCAAACGATTTAAAAAAAAACTTTCTTTTCATAATTATTCACATATAAGCAAATTGCATCACTACAAAAGTTCATTCCTAGATTCTGTCGACGTTCAGCATCAGTACATACAATAAAAGGAAATCAATTCCAAACTTGACATATTTTTCTTTTTGTGACATGTAGTCAAAAGACAACGTGTAAATTCAAGAAGACAAGAACCACTGGCATTGTGAGGATGCAATAAGAAAAGACGACAACATGTAAAGTCGTTATTTTTTAATTTGATTTCTTGCTAGTGTGCTTTCTCAGCATCATGGTTGTGCTTTTCAGAGAATACTTATGCCCCTTCCAAAGATACCACACGATGCCATGTGTAATTGTGGCGATCGTTGGGTTCCTATAATAAAACCCATTTAGGTGACTGTGTTGACAGTTAGTGAACCACCAAGCGCCGCTGTTGTGGACTGCACAGTTTTTTTCTCTGTAAGTATCTTGATCCCGATCATAGGTTGTAAACTTGGCACCGTTTGCGAAAGCCAGAGAATCTCCTTCGAACATTACAATGACGATATTTAATAGTCATTTGAGCATTATCAAAATCAATAATTCAATTCCACAACTTAACACGAACAAAAAACATACAAGCACATGTATAAAAAGCCACACTTATATTGTGCTCAAACTACCGTTACGGTAGCTTAGACGCTCCATGATCGGAATCATGACCACGACTGACCAAGTCGATAAAAGAAAACTAGGTAGCAAATGTTCCTTCAGCAAGCGCTGGGCACCTTGAAGTTAAAGTTGTGGGTTCTTCGAATGAGACCTAAAAATACTGAGACCCCCTGACACGATAGGCATTAACACGATAAAGAAACCTTACTGTTCAGTGACCCTGACTGCCGAATAAAGATCTTCATTTGAAGTTCTCCACCTGTATATGATGAAAAACTCTTGAACGGGACGTTAAACAACATACGATCGATCAATCAATCAATCTTCGTTATTAAAAAAAAGATACTGAAGGTAAAAGATATCTTGAATTACAGTCTCTTAATCTTTGATCTTCAATTCCTTTTCAGTGGGGTTGCACATCTTTTACATATTTTAATGCACCATGAAATTGCCTCAAAGTTAATGACATATTATATAGATATATATATAACAAGATTCATGTGGAACGTTTTTGTAGAATTCAATTGAACATTAAATGAACAATAATTTAGCAATTAACTTTTTTTCAATACCGGGTATATAAATATAAAAAGTTATAATCCTCCGAATTGCCTACCTCATTGAATCGCTTTGCTTACCTGCATTTCCGGTGTATCCTGATATCATCAGTTTGTATCCCTGCGCCTCATGACCAATTTTGAAGTGACTGTATTTTGCAAACCTCTTTTTACCATCGAAATCTTCCAGATCGATCCTTAACTCGTACCATCCAAGATTTGTTATTTCATACAAAATTTGGTTACCTAGAAAATTGAAATGCACAACATGGTAGTTTGACCAAGTATGGTATTTAAGGCAATTTATATTTAATCATTTAATTAAAACACATACCTAACCAATGTTCTCCCTTTAGATTTCCGAATCCGTCTTTATATTCCTTCCAAGTCCGGAAAAAATTTACCGAACCATCCATTCTTTTTTGGAAAACCTTTGTTTAAAATATCAACACTAATTTTTTTGTGCTTTCAAAATATTTCAATTTAAGACTGTGGTCATTCTTAGACTATATGGATGTCCTTTAGAAGAAGACCTCCATAAAATTTATCTATATATAAAGTGATCAAATTTAAAAACTAAATTGTATGAAATTTCTCTTTGCCAAACGATAGTTGACAACTTAAAATAGGATATTTAAAACCTGAAGCTAAATCTGACAGTTATTTTCTTGACTCCCAGCCCCCCTAAGCTTACATGACACTTATCAACTTTTTATTTAATTGATTAAAGATACCGTCCACCCCCCACCGTCCATGGTCATGTCACAGTACGCCGTGTGACCGTATCCTCCTGCCGGGTATATTTTGTAGACTCCACTAGGTGCACTCGGTAAAGCCTTACGGATATCACTACAGTCTACGGGAACCAGACCAGACTGAATCAGTTTACCTTCAGACAAAAAATACAAGAGACAATACAGGTCTAATGATAATAATATATATATATATATATGTATATTTTTCAAAAAATAACTAAGAAATGCGATTATTGAGAACACAACAACCAATTCCACATCAAGCATCCACTGAAGTGATTACCTTTATAAGATTTTGGAAATACCGGAAAGTGGTATGAGGTTGTCAAGATGGTTGACCCATCTACGGCTTTCGAAATTTTCTCGGACCAGTTTTTGTTAGTTATTAAAAACTTCTTCAAGACTAAATAAAAAGAAAAGGGTATATTTAGAGAATTAATGTCATATAATAATATACGAAATTATTCATTTTAGAAAGGCTTGCGTTTTGAAATGAAAGGTTACCAATACCCTTAATCGTAATTTCTGAAAGGAGTTTTTTATAACAGATTGGTAGTTCTTGTTATATACTGTATTCAAATATATTATTCTGAACTCCGTATTCAAACATTCTACATAAAGCATATTTACCTTCATTTAATTCCGTTGAACAGGATATTTGAACGCATAGAAATAAGACTATTATCATATACGCAAGATCCATTTCTTAAAACAGAAAACTAGTGAGGAAATACTGAATAGTTATAAATTATGTCTAACCACCTTATTCAGAGTTATACTGCATGGTAGATGTAAATTTCTACATTCTAAAATAATCAATAAAGCAAACGGTTTTATACCCAATGCGTGTATATTAAAGTCATTTGATAGATATTCGTGTTAATAAATTGAAATAAAAAAATATTCATACTACAACCTGTATCCCATCACAAGGTGCTGTTGAATTAAAAACTTTTTTTCTAATGATATATAGAAAATCGAAATATGAATAAGGTTAATTAAGGAATAAAATTCTTTAATTTGTTTTAGCGTGTGTATGTTTGATTGTGTGAATGTTTGATTGTGTGTCTTTATGTGCATGATTTTTTTTTCTTTTAATGTGTTTCTGATAAAAATCTATATTTAAAAATTGCAAGCTAAAGAAGATAAAGTTTGGGTCAACCATATTTTTTATTAATCAATTTTACTGTGCAAGATTTTTTAAACCTGTTCCGGGACTACTTTTGAAATCTAAAAAAGAATTCCACTTGTCTCTATCTTCTTGTTGTCTGTTTTAATTTTTTTTCTTTTTTCACATGAATGTAATTTGTTATTTGGTTTCATACCAATTTAACAAAAAAAATAAAAAATCGGTGTTTTCATGTGGTTACATGTATAAACACACATACACACAAACACGAAAAGCAAGAGAACAAAAACGCATACACTGAAAAACCAATAAAAACATTGTTTTTTTTTCCTGAAAAAATCTGATTATGAATGAGATTTTGTATGAATTTTAAAAAAGTTTTCAATTAAACAACACCTTGCAGGGAGATGCAAGCAGAAGCATGACTACTTATTTCATTTAGTATTTATAACAATAATGTATATCAAATGACTCTAATTTACACGCATTCGATATAAAAAGCTGTACAGTATTGATTTTATGTCAGAATGTACAGTTATCGTCAAAGAGACCTAGTGTATTATTATACTGTTAGTTTTGAATTGACTGGGTGGAGGTACATAACTCGTAATATCCTTCCTAGCTACTTAAAGCTTAGCTGTTTATAAAAATGGATTTAGTGGGTGGTGTTATTTTCTTATACATGTATGCTTGCTTCATAAAGACACATGCAAAAGGACACAATCAAGGTAAATAAATAATAAATAATGTTTTTATAAGAGTGATAAAGTTGATAAATGACGCTTTCATATAAGTGTATAATTCTTATATATTGGCCTCGTGAAAAAAATTAATAAATGTATCATTTACATACTGCCAAATGAAAAGAGCTCTTTTCAAATTTCATGACTCAATGAACATATCTTATATCGTATCACCTATCATCTTCCTGTTGTAATGAATAAAGATATTCAGTATTACATACGCTAGAATAATATATTCGATAAAATGTTATTTTTTCTAGACTTACAGAAATTTATGTTGTCTACCAAAAATTGGTCACAGAACATTTCTAAAGGTATTGACGGGTCCACCACCTTGATATCTTCATACCGCTTTCCAGTCTTGCAAAACACTAATTCTAAAGGTAATAATTTCTGAACTTATTTCACGTGTCAGTGGCATCTATTGTCTTAAAACTGGTACAATTCTACTGGTTTTCAAACTCTTAAAAACTTATTTAGGCAAGCTTGTGCTCTATATTACCCGGAGTGAAAATGTGTTAAATTTGACGAATGTGTACCAGAATCAAGGTAGCTGCAATAATGTAGCCCTCTCCGATTTTTTTTATCTGATGTTTTCTGGAGAGGGCTACAATTCCATCGCATCTCCGTAATGGTGAAAATTATTTATTATTTCCACCCTGTCGTAGGGTAAGCCCACCATTTTATTTTTTCTACATGTATGTACGTATTCCAGAGAAACAACATGTATTGTGTCTTGTAATTTTCTCTGAAGGTAAACTGATTCAGTCTGGTCTGGTTCCCGTAGACTGTAGTGATATCCGTAAGGCTTTACCGAGTGCACCTAGTGGAGTCTACAAAATCTACCCGGCAGGAGGACATGGTCACACGGCGTACTGTGACATGACCATGGACGGTGGGGGGTGGACGGTATCGTACATCAATTATATAATTATTTTCTCTGGAAATGTGCCATATAAGCTTCAATTGATACATTCGTGAGTGTACATATTTTATACCCCCGCTTGAAAAGTGGGAGGGTATATAGTGTCCGTCCGTCTATCTGTCTGTGTGTACTATCGTCTGTTTCGCTTTGGGATACCCATCTCTTTTCCCGGTGAGCTTGAGATAAATGATACCACAGAGTCTGAGAAATCTGTTTTGTATTTGGATATTTAACTTTAAAAGACGTTAATGGTAATCTAACGACCAAGTTCTATGATAAACGTAATGACTTTAATTTTACAATCGTCAACTTCACTAACTAATGCAGCATTATACCTTCATCACCTGCATACGGAGTATATATATCTCGGTTGATTCTGTACGCAAGAGTATTTCTACGTTTGAACAATTTCTTAAACCAGGTAAACTATTGATAAACATGTTGATGAAACGTGAAAATCAGCAGTCTCCTTTAAAGTCATCGTTTCGTACATGTAAGTTCTATGGTCGATACAATGACCTTATGATTTTTTCGTTATTTCCCGATCATGACAAGCAGCACAAGGCGGATGTGACCGATTGACAGGGCATGCTAACACCACCATGGCACCTGATCCCACCTCTGATGTTTTTGAGGTCTGTGTTTGCTCTGCTCCTATTTTGCGTTGTTTTATGGACTAATGATCTTGGATACTGTTTGTTATCTCCATATGTTTCCGCAACTCCTTTGTTACCACTGAATGAGATGTAATGAGACTTTCACGGAATCTTGGATATATAGTACCATTATGCACCTTCAATTTTACTTTTTGACTCCGACAATTATTTTGAGTTTCCCATAGCAAAACATGGACATTTCCATTTTATCTATAATAATAAATGGTACTCCTCATCTCTTTATCTGCAACTCTTCCTATACACTTGAATAAAATTAAATGATACTTGAACAGATTCTTTTTTTGCATTATGCCATTGTGACCTCTTATTTTATTTTTGTTCTGACACATTTCAGGTCTCATGGAGCAAAACACGAACTTTGTCATTGTATATTTAATCATATGCATTTAATCAGTACTCACAATACCCCCAGTTTGTTTAATATTTTCAAGTTTGAAGGCATTTGAAGGCATAAAATTAATGTTGAAATTTTTAACAAAGGTTTTCCAAAGAAGAATGGATGGATCAGTGAATTTTTTTCGGTGGTGGAAAGAATACAAAAACGGATTTGGACATTTAAAAGGGGAACACTGGTTAGGTGAGTGTATGATTAGATGTAAATTGCCTTAAACACCCTACTGGTCAAACTACCATGGTGTGCCTTGCAATTTTCTAGGTAACCAAATTTTGTATGAAATAACAAATCTTGGATGGTACGAATTAAGGATAAATCTGGAAGATTTCGATGGTAAAAAGAGGTTTGCGAAATACAGTCACTTCAAAATTGGTCATGAGGCGCAGGGATACAAATTGATGATATCAGGATACACCGGAAATGCAGGTAAGCAAAGCGATTCAATTGAATAATTTTTTTTAATTTTATGCTGTAAATTTTCTTAATACCTGGCCTTTTATGTGAGAAATTCATGAAGTATCGTTCTTTTGATATTGAAGTAAGTCAACAAGTACATGTATTATACTCTCCTGATCGACCACAATGCATGCCTGGTTATAACCTTGTTCAAGCTTATTGTATTTTTCTGAAGTTGCCACACTTTTATTACTTGTTCAAGGTATGCCACTTTCGACATGTAAAAGATTTCTTGAGAAAAATATTTGAAATATCTAAAAGCATTAATCAAAACTGTAAAGAAGTTAGTTTTAGGGTTTGTATGCATCTCATTGAGGGAGACGCGACTTTATTGACCTTTTTGTATCATTATGATTAATTTTTTTTATCTAATTTCATACGCTTTTAAAAAAAAACTTAATGAAATAAATGCAACGAAAAAAGAAAAAATAACGAACATTTATCGCTGAAACATATTCAGACAGTATTCAAGATCAAAAGTCCATAGCATAATATAAAATAGGAGCAGAGCAAACACAAGACCTCCAAAACATCAGAGGTAAGATCATGTGCCATGGAGGAGTGAGCATCACCTGCCGACCTGTCACACCCGCCGTGTGCTCTTTCTCATGATCGGAAAAATCTGTCGTCAATTCAGTGTATAAATAATATAGACTAAAAGTTGGTATGAAAGATGTCAGTCATCATTTGACTCAATGAATAAATTGTATTTGCTGAAAATGTCATTGTATCGACCATAGAACTTACGAAATAATGACTTTAAACGAGACTGCTGATATTCTTGTTTCATTAATTTGTTTGTCAATAATTTACCTCGTTTTAGATGTGTAATATGTGCAAAAAAACATGCATTGACTAGTGGAAATTGTTTAGTAAAATCTCTGTAAAATCTTTTAATCTGTCATCAGCCTGTCTCGCCTTTTACAGAGCCTTCTCTTGAGTATCGAATAAGTCGGGAAATGTAAACACCGTAAGCCGGTGAAAGCGGGGTATTAAAACATATAATTAACGAACGGAAAGTTGAAGTCATCTCGTTTGTCAAAAAATCATTTGTCGGTTGGCCCTTATATATAGCCAGTAAAGCATCTGAAACAAATGTGGCAATCTCTGTGGGTTTGATAAAAATGATAAAAGTCGCCGATATATTAAAATGTCGAATTAAAGGAAACAGCAAGTGTTTTCTTCTTTTCATGTTGAAGTTTTAGAATAAATGTTGTTTTATTTTTATTTGTTTAAAGCTCTCTATAAAGAAGTACAATAAGTGCCATGCAATCGGAATTCCGACAGCTTTTTTGAAGACCGAACTCCGAATAATAAATAAATTTTGTCGGAACATAAATAGGAATCCAACAACCTTTTATTATCAACTTTAGAGTAATTGTTTGTTTAATCATAGTGATTTTTAACGAATCAATTTTTTTGATGACTCATCACAAGCTAGGGAAATTCCCAACTTCCATTTTCATGAAGAGGCAGTTTTCAAACACCCCAATTTCTTTAATTTATAATGAGCAATGATTGTATAACGTAGAAAAATTGACGTCTTTTGAAAAAGTGTGCCATTTTAAATTTTCTAAAATTTCCTAAAGTGGGAATTCTTAAATTTATTATCTGATTTATAGCATTTCTGGAATATACTGTTGCAGTGTCAATTTGAAAGGATTATTGTGAAGCTAAGGAATGCAAAATAGCTAGGATAAATCAAATTTATCCTCAGTTGACTTAAATGTTAAATTTTATCTACTGAAATTTGATTCTCAAGAACTTCATCTTTAAAAAGTGAACTGCAAAGTTGGATTTCCAAAAGTAAATTCTATATCAAATTTTTATACGATTCTTTTAAAAACATTTCAAAAGATTTAATCCTCTCTGAAAAAAAATTTGGGATGTTTTATTCATATTTTGTCCAACATCTGGCATAATCTTCAAAATAAATTGAAATATAAATGAAGTTTCTGACATCGCCAATTGAAAGATCGCGACTTCCTTTATTTAATACCGTTTTAAGATGATCGTACGCGTTTTAATTATAACGTCTTCATTTTAAACTATATTGACTTCACCAAAGATGGCGTGTCCACTGGGATTGTAGTTGAAAGAAGGAAATAATAAAAGGATTTTGCATAAAATGGTCAATATCTAGGCATAGTAAGGTTTGGATTGTGTTTAAACTGTAGGAATGTTAGGTGTAGATTTCAAAGGGTATCTATGAATTTGAATGTAATGAAGACCAAATTGAAGTCAGGGGTACTTTAAATTAGGAAACATGTCTTTATATTTGTTATTTTCAGGCCGAAAACGACGTAAATATTAATTTTTTTTTTCATTGTTTTCAAAACATCTTTAATTTCATGCAAAATGTTTAAACGTATGTGTAGAATTTGATTCAAAAATATGACGTAAAACCTACATTAGATTCCTACATGTAGCATTAAATAACATGTAAAATGTCTCATGAGTGGCATACCTTTAGATATGATTTCATGTGATATTAATGAGTGTATTTTTACAAGACACTGTCATTGTGATGTTAACAGGAGACTCCATGGCTCTATCGCAAGGTCTCAAGTTTACAACCTATGATCGGGATCAGGATTCGCTCAAGAAAGTAAACTGTGCAGTATTGTTTTCGGGGGGTTGGTGGTTCAAAGACTGCTTAGTGAGCCACCTTAATGGTTTTTACTATAGGAACCCCGTTATTGCGACGAAAGCACATGGTGTCGTGTGGTATCACTGGAAGGGGTATAAGTACTCCCTGAAAAGCACAACCATGATGCTGAGAAAGCACTCCAGCAAGAAATCAAAATAAATATACATAGGGCCATCTTTATAAAAGTGTTTGTTTGTCCTCTCCCGACCCACTGACAAAAAAAATGAACCGACTCAAAACTATTTTTTTTTTTTTACATTTCATGACGCTTTATTTGTTTTCGTTTTATTTCTTTTATCCTGTCGACACATATCTTTAAATTTCCTGGGGGGGGGGGGGGTATTCCGACCCAATACACGTATTTTTACCCTGGGTCGGAAACAGGCAAACAATAAAAGTATTTTTACCCTGCGGTTACACTAAAAAAAAACACATTGAACATAAAGATTATTCAGTAAAAAGATGACATAATTTGATTACTTACATGTTTTGAATTTTTTTCATACTTTACACTTTCAAAATAAGATGAGATTTTTTTTAATCATATGAATTTGTTGTGGTTTTCATGCATGTAATTCATTTAAATGGTCAAAATTCTTATTAAAAAATAAAACAAACACAAAATGCTGTTTTACGGTTTTTTTGTGAATCATAGAGAAAAATAAAGTTTAGTTTATCCAGCACGTTTAATCTTAGCGAAGCTATTAATGACAGGATCGGTCATCACCTCCAATGCATTACATAAACCGAGATAAGAAAATACAAAATGAAGCTATTAATGACAGGAATAAGGAACAGTGCTTTTCGGTCATCAATATATATATTAATACATTAAGAGGAAATGATAATTTTTCTTTCAGTTCTTGATATCAGCAACAGTTCTGCCAATTTTTCCTTCAATGAGAATTTTACTTGACTTGCATGAAATTACTTTAAAATAACAAAATCTTTGAATGAGAAAATTTCATATCAGATTTCTTAGTAAACGTTAATATAAAGATATGATTATTAAAGAATTTATGAAATAATTCCCCAAGATAAATTTAAGGCCAGAGTTTTTTATGCAACAGCCAACTGCTTCTTTAATGAAAAGAAACCATGAAACATTTTGCCATACCTTGTTCGCGGTTAAATCTTCCAAAAATCCGTTAAAATTCTAATGGGTACTACATGTAACTAAACACTAATTCCCCACGAAATGTCCAACTTAAAAAGGGCCTTTATTTGTTTCACATGCCATGTGAAGCAGGATTTATTCAAAAACTTCTACATGAAAAAAGACAATTTTGGTCTACATGAAAAAAGATAATTTTAGCCCTTTATTCAATGATATATGAAACTCAAGTGGAAGCATCTTCAGATAGTGTAGATTCCATTTGTTCAAAGCATGACCCCCAAAGGTCCAATAAAGTTTTACATAGGAGTATATACGGAAAATCTTCAATAACTTCAGAGGTGGAATCAGGTGCCAGGAAAGATGAAACTCATGTGGAAGCATCTTCAGAGAATACTCAGTCTTTGTTTCAATACTTAATTTATACAACGAGGCGAACTGGGTAAATTAGTTGATGATATAAGGTCGTCAACAATCTCGGATGAAGTCATCATTTCGCCGCATATTTTATGATACTATTAGATAAAATGCCTTTACAAACAAAATATATCATAGGGTCGAATTTTGACTGGAGTCAAGGAAATTGTTAGTATTCAACGTTTTTATCCTTTCATGAACTTACAAAATGACTTTAAATGTGTTCACTTCTCCATGACACCTGTTCATCAACTTGTTTGTCAATAACTTTCTCTCCTCACAAATGGTACATAGTGTACATGGAAACTGTTCGTTAGATTTCATACTAGCACATATACATGTATAAATGAATATTAGCAAGTCAAAGTATACATATACTGTTGTAATGTTAACCATGTATATATGCACAAGGCATAAAAAATATCAATTAACAATACACATTTTCAACTGTGCAATGGTACTCAAGGGCGCTTGGTGGTTTACGAACTGTCACCATAGTCACCTTAATGGGTTTTATTATATCAAGCACCCTCCTAAGAACACGAGGGGTATCGGCATCGTATGGTATCACTGGAAAGGGGAAAAGCACAACCATATATAAGCAACTAGCAACAAATTATAAAATAAAACAAACTGATGATTTCAACTTTTCTACTGCCAAAGTCCCCTTTTTTGTGTAGCAACAGAAAATACTATAATCACCGCCAAATTAAATTTATGTTTTAGAATATACTTAATTCGCAATCACCTTTGAGGCAATACAAACACTGAATTAAACTTTCATAGTTAATGAAATTGTCAAAAAATAATTTAATAAAATACTTTCTATCGTTTTCGAACTAATTAATTATTTGGTTGATGATATAAGGTATCGTCTGCGTCATATTCTATAAATAAAGGGTGTACTATCAGGCTAATACAAATGCGGGAAACATCATTAATGACTTGATGTACGCTTTGATGCAAAACTCCCCGCTGAGGACCCATCTATGCATAATTGTGTGACCTTAAATAATCTTTGCATCATGTTTATTTACTTTTGTTGGATATCAGAAATGATACATGTGACAAATATTTTACGCTGTTTAATTCTAGCTACATTTTAATAAATTTTAAAGCTTTTTAATGCTATATATGGCATAGATATATATAATCATCTTTTCAATGGCTGAATCAGCTTGATTTTAAACTGTCATCGTGGTCTTTGTTCATTACCCTGTAAATGAGCCCGGCTTTCAGTACTTCTGAGTACTTTGATCATGTTATACCGGTATATTTTGACATAAATTATTAAGTTCGCCGCTAGTTTCCTCGTTAAATATGGATGGTAATTTGTAACAGGTTACTTAGTTTGAAAGATAGAACTGAAGCAAACACTATTTTCTTCACATGCAATATTATAAGACATATAGACATACAGATGTATTGGCATAAACTTTGATAATTTTGTGCTTTCACCTTTATTATGCTCACCATCTGTAGTTACTGTAGATTCCTAAATATACTTGTAGAATTAACTATCGCGTAATTTCCATTGCACCACACACGAAATGGAAACTGCTTTATTTTTCAGGGGTTTCAAAAAGTTCACATATACTATATCTACAAAATCACAAATATTAGAATGAAAAGTACACACATAGCTATACACAAGGTCTATAAATAGCATATGCTAGATAAAGTTTTTCTCCTTTGTGACGTCACAATGTGAAAATGACGTCACTATGTAGGTCACTTGTGACGAAAAATGGTTGTCTCAGTCGAACTCGTTCAACATACGACTGTACGATTTATTGTATACCTTAGAAATCCCTCTGCAGTATCATATAATAATTTGTATACAGTTTATTGAGATAAATGAGTTCCTATAAATTCAATTAATGATTGGATTGATCGTTTTAGTGAAGGAAGACAAATGGTTAAAAATGATAATGTCATCTTCCCAGTGAAAGCAAGTTTGAAAAGATATGTATTTTTAATTAAGCAATTTGCTATCAAAGACCTCCAATTAACACTTTGAAAAATAGTTGAATATTTGAGCAATAATATAATTATTAAATACCTATGATATCGTTAACTTTAGATTTTAAACATATTAGATATGATAAAACCGGTATATTTTTACCACCTTATAAAGTCTCGCCGAGACAGAAGATTTGTGTTTTAATATGCCATACTTATTTTTGTAAAGGATATTCTTATCCACCCATTCTGTTGCCGAGATATGACCATTTCAAAAACTTTTCTTGTCATAAAAATTAACTCACATGGAAAGAAATATAAAACTCAGAAAAATCTTTCAACTTTTGTGACAGAACGCTACGGAGGGGATCACGTTACCGCCAATATCACGTGATTCACGCAAGCGCAGAACGGTGGTTGATGTGCATTAAAATCGGGGAGGATTAATTTAAAATATAATCAACATTGAAACCAAATATTGTTTCTTTCATGGAAGTTATTCAATTAGTTCGCGAACTTTTTGATCACCCCTCGTATGGTGCTGAAATCTATGTAAAATCTCCTTGATCAATCGTCCATTCGCGAATTATTATTCACGCGATTCGCCGTTAAAGAGCCCATTCGCGATAATAAGTACTCTCGAAAAATAAGGAATCTAGAGTATTTATCAAATTTAATTTTTTTAACAAACATTGTAAATAAAGTAATAGTTCAAATTTACTTTGATTATGGTGACGATCGATGCAGAGTGAAATTGTGCAACGTCTGCTGTGGAAAATTATCAATGGTTTCTCAGGCATATTGTTTCACTGTTTTCTTAATTTTCTATGCCAGTTAACATTAAAAAAATTGATCAAGAATAAAGACAAATAGAATATTTTTTAACATTTAACATATTTTAGTCTTCTTGTGTGGATGTATAAAGCTTTTTGAAAAAATATGTCAAGCAAGTGTGTATTTGACACGGTCAATCGGTCATAGCGTCTTAGCAATTAACCGATTATTATTGTACATATATAATTATAAATTCGATTGCCATCCATACAAAATATTAAACTTTCTACTTATATTCCTCTTAAATATGTCTATCAACTTCATTTAACACGTCATGTCAATAAAATATCGAGTTTCTGTTTTAAATTCATTTCTTTTCTGTTAATTAAATTAACGAGATAAACTTCAAAAATCTAACAACAGTAGTGCTTAGTGACTACATAGTTAAACATAGGTAATCAGAGAATACAATTTTGATCAGATAGGGCTTGCAGTTTCTTTGGAATAGACTTATCCAAAAGCTTGGTCGCCCATCAAGAAAATGTAATTCAAATCCAGCATCTGAAGCAAGTTTAAGTTTTCATCCCTTGATGCATCATTTGTGCAAGTTTGGTTAATATAGGCTTTAATGTTTCTTGGTGATAGACCTGCACCCGTAACTTTTACCTGGTCCATTATCTAGAAAATGTATGTTGAATTCAGCATCCGAAGCAATCCATTACTTTGCGCATCCTTAGATGTATCATCCATCAAGTTTACTCAGCTTATGGCTCATAGTTACTTGGAAATGAAGCCTGCATAAAAAAAATAACCTTTGTACTCATCTAGGAAATGTAGGTCAGATTCAGCATCCGAAGCAAGCCTGGTAGTGTGCATCCTTAGATGTATCATCCATGCAAGTTTGGTCATTAAAGGGCTCAAAGTTACTTGGAAATGAAAACTGCACCAAAAACTTTAACCTGTTCACTCATCCGAAAAATGGGGTCAGATTCAAGATTTAAAAAACAAAATACTTCCCCTCCTCCTCTGAAATCTAGAGATGGCAGGATATTTGTTCAT